GAGCCTCTTGGGAAATGCCAGAGTCTGCTCAGCTGTATTGTGTTCTTTTCATGGGAACAATAAAACAAATCAATGAGTTTTGAACTATCATAGTGATTTTCAGAATTACCTGAAAAGACTGCCCAAGATTCCAACTCCCAGGAACCATCCCAGAGGTTCTGCCTCAGAAACAATGAATGCTTCTCTGTCACCTGTGACATGGGTGTTTTGTCACTTACAAACTTATTAGGAGAATTAAAACGCACACGTCTCAAAATTATTTGGGAACTCTGAAGTCACACCTAAATGTCAACATTTAATCTGTATGGTGTGGGAAGCCCTCCTCTTAAGTGTTAGCACTGTGTAGCAATTCATGGAGGTATAAGTCTGTTCCCATTGCTTATTGATAGTTTTCTATTCTTAGAGCTAACCAAAAATGCTTTCTTTTCAAGAAAATGAATTCCTTAAGGCAAAAACTGTGAGCAAAATCTTTCTCTCTCAGAAATATTAGTTTTGTTATTTCTGATTTAACTTGGAAAATAACACAGAGGCATCAAGAGTAGTTTCAATTTGCTTCTAAGGAGGGGTTTTCAATCTTTCCATTTTTTTTTTTTCTTTCTTGTTTTAATCACAGATTTATTTTGGGGGAAAGCTGCCTGGAATGTAGGCTAGTCTAATGGTATGGCTTCCTCTTTTAATTTGACTGCACAGAGTGAAAATCATTAGGGGATGTTTGTATTGTATTTGGATAAAAGGGTTTTTCTTAATATGTGTGCCTTGCTCAGCAAACATTCTTAGAATGACTTGATCCTGCATAGTTCACATACCTCACACACAGTGGAGGGCTGAGTGAATGAGCAGTAGGATGAATGGGTAAACGTGAAAAGTCGTAAGAAATGCTAAAAACATAGCAGTATATAACATTTGGGCTGCATTTCACTTGTAGTGACTATTTAAAAATGGAATCCAGTCAGAGTCATTTATTTTTCCCTTGTAAATTGAAGTACTTTCACAGAGAATCCTAGAACTGGAAAAAATACCTTAGATATCATGTTGTCTAGTAATTTCCAAACTGTGCTTCCTAGAGCTGGAAAGCAATGATCCTCCACTTTGACTAAGCATTTGAATCACTTGAGAAGCTTTTAAAAAATATAGACACTAGAATTCTTACTCCCAGAGAATCCAATTCAGTCAATATGAGTGGCCCTGGGCATACATTCTAAAAGTTTGTACAGATTCTAATGTGTAGCTGGGTTGTGAACTACCGTTCTAAGGGTTCAACATTCCAAACTTTTACTTGTGATTTGATAAATATAGGCATGCTCCTTGAAGACAATATGATGGAATACATTAAGTTGGGAAAGTTGAGTTGTGCCTATACCTTATAGAGTTTTCATTAATTTAAAAGAAAACACTAAGTTCCAGAAAAGCTAAATTATATAAAGTTCTTTTATGTACTCTTAGGACAGGAAATACTGCAGATATACGAGGCAAAGCAGATGAGTAAGACCTAGACTTTCTCATAAAGGGTTTACAGACTCACAATCTAGAAACATATATGGGCAGAGCGACTGGCCTGTGGAAGACATAGAGGAAAAGAAAAGAAAAACGCGACTTGAGTAAAAGGCAGGTGTGTTATCAATGGCTGAAGCAGGACTGATTCATAGACTATTATAATTTTCACTATTTGGTCTAATTTCTACCTGGCATAGATTGGGCAAAATTGAGTAGTTTTGAAATCTGTAGTCTTAGAATACAACCTGCTTTGTTAGGTGTTGGTAGGATGATACAAGGATAAAAAAAAATGAAAATAATACTGGGTCCTATTCCTTCTTATCTGCACTTAGCACAAGGTAGGATGTTTCTTAGAGCTCACCAGGCATTAGGTCCTTCTGATGGAGGAAAAACCATGTAAAACCATGTACAAAGCCTGAGTTATTCTCAGGACTGCTTCTAGATGTCAGGCCCCTGGTATCTTTGCCAGGAGGAAGGCAGAGAATATCTGCCTGACTTGATTTGCTTTTGTGCTTGTCCAGGCCAAATACTATTAATAGTCCCTAGTTGGTTTGGAGAAAAACTGAGTTAAAATAGAAAGAAATTGTTAAAAATTTGCATCATGTGTTGCTATTCATTTTGGTCTTAGAATCTTTGGAATTTGTTGTCTTCTCAGTCATCTGGCATAAGAAGTTTCAAGGTGTGATTAAACAAAGGGGTCATTTCAAGAAATGATTAAACAAAAGTTTCTATAAATTCGTCCATCTAGCCCATACTTCTAGCATTTTACCATTCCAATTAATGGATCTGTACCAATGAAGTTAGCCAAAAAGATATGTTGATGGTGAGTGCTTTCTGTGACTTTTTAAAAAAAGATTTATTTATTTATTTGAAAGAGTTACACAGAGAGAGAAGGAGAGGCAAACAGAGAGAGAGGTCTTCCATACACTGGTTCACTCCCCAGATAGCTGTAACAGCCAGGGCTGTGTTGATGCAAAGCCAGGAGTCAGGAGTTTCCTCTAGGTCTTCCCACGCGGGTGCAGGGGCCCAAGGACCTGAGCCATCTTCTACTGCTTTCCCAGGCCACAGAAGAGGGCTGGATTGGAAGTGGAGCAGCCAGGACTCGAACTGGCGCCCATATGGAATGCCAGCACTGTAGGCGGTGGCCCTACCTGCTATGCCACAGTGCTGGCTCCCTCTGTGACTTATTAAAAAAGATTTATTTATATATCTGAAATGAAGAGCTACAGATAAGAAGAGGCAGAGAGAGAGAGAGAGGTCTTCTATCCGTTGGTTTACTCCCTAATTGGCTGCAATGGCTGGAGCTGCACTGATCCAAAGCTATGTCTCCCATACAGCTGTAAAGGGACCAAGTAGTTGGGCCATCTTCTACTGCTTTCCCAGGCCATAGCAGGGAACTGGATGGGAAGTGAAGCAGCTGGGTCTTGAAGTGGTATCCATATGATTGGCAGCATTCAGATGGTGGCTCTACCCGCTAAGCCACAGTGTTGGCCCCTCTAGGACATTTTCACAAATTTTCTTAGAATGCTTATTTAGCATAGGAGAGATTCAAAGAATCAGATGTTTCAAAGGAGGTGGAATTCCTATCTAAGTAGAGAAATCAGATAAAAATCTAATTAATGAGATAACCCTTAAGGGGTGGTGGCCATTCAACATGGAGGTGATCATAGGAGAAATTTCTGGTAAGAAAAGTGAAATTTTATTCAGACAATGTGATAAGGATATAGGTTGTAAAGAAGTATAAATGAAGAATGGAAAATTGGATTTAGGCAGTATTCCATTTGTGGTGGGTCTTTAATGGTGGTAGAACATTTTTTAAATGTTTATTTTTTCATCTACTTGAAACACCAAGCGAGAGCAAGAGAGAACAAGAGAGGAATCTCCTATCTGCTGACTGACTCCCTAAATGCCCTTAATAGCCATGCTGGGCCAAGCTGAAGCCAGGAGTCCAGAACCCCAACTGGTCTCCCAAGTGGGTGGCAGGGACACAAGCAGTTGGGCCATCATCTGTGACCTCCCAGGATACAGCAGAAGGAAGCTGGATCAGAAGTGGAGCAGTCAGGACTGGCACTCTGATATGTGACTTTCTAAACAGTGGCTTACCCAGCTGTGCTACAATGCCTTCTCCATTATAGAATGTTTGTGTTTGGTTATAAAGTATGTACATAATAGTAACAGATTTTTTTGAGCATGGGAGTTATATAATAAAATTTCTGTTTTATTATAGTTAACTGGGTAGCACAGTGTCCAATCAGGAAAAGATTAGGAGCAGAAAAATAAACAAAAAATATTATTGTAGTAGTCTGAGAAATAGTAGAGACATTTGTGTTGGAAAGATAGGCCTCTGGTTGTAAGACAAGGACACAAGACATTTTCTTAAAGAACTGAACACAAATAAATAAGAACGGTACTTCTACATTTATAACACGAATATTGACTTGAATAGACCATTTAAAGTCATCATATATGCAGGAAAATAATATTTGGGTATTTTTATTTAAATACCTCCAAGATTGGTTTAGCTTTTCTAGTAATTTTGGAGATGTGGACAATGAATTTCAAAAATCAGGTGACTGAAGTAATGTACGGTCATTAGGAAATAATGTTTATTCACAAGTATATGCTCTGTCCACCTAATACAGCGTGCCTAGTTAAAGAGAAAACTTTAGTACCTGTAATAAGAATGATGGATATTTTCCACCACTGAATGGATCAATTATTTTGACATTTTGTAGGATAACATGAACTTTTCTAATTACTATCATCAAGAACTCTTTGGGACTATGAATTCATCCATTCCCCATTAGATTCTATTATTGTAAAATTTTGATGAGTGTTATTATTGGTGAGGCCAGTCTCCAATCAAACTTTAGGTAGGTGTAGCTTTCCTCACAGGTCCAAAACATTAAGTTGCAGCTAACCAGCTACTGTGGTGTCTAAGCAATGGGTAGCATGTATTGATTAGTTCAAGAGACGTGTTCTGAAATCTGCTTATAGCCCAGTTTTGTGCTTGTTGATGGGAATAGAAAGAGTTTGGAGATGTTTAGAATTTAATAGAGTATAAATATGTAAAGTAAAACACAAAATTACAGAAAATAAGAAGAAAAACAAAAGGAAAGTCCAGAGGCAGGGCAAATTCATTCTGTTTAGTGGACAACACAAGCTTTATAAGGAATGTGATATTCACATGGAATGGACAATGAACCACCAGTTCCTTTATTCTTTTTCTCTTGTAATCTCCATACTTCCCTTCCTTTACTTCCTCACTTATTTATGAAGTATATTGCAGTGTTTGAAGCAATATGATCAGAGTGTTTGGTTCCAATCAAACATGACCTAGTCTCAAGCAGTTAAGGAACAATACACTAAATGTACACACCAAATGGAAATCAGGTGACATAACTGAAGACACTACACTAAATGTACATACCAAATGGAAATCAGGTGACATAACTACAGCAAAGTAAGACAGAGAAAAAGTCTGAAAAGTACTCAAAAATACAGTCTTCATGTCTCAGCTGTATTCTTTGTTTTTAAAACTGTTGAATGCATGTCCATAGAATGCTTAGGGACACAGCTGCATTTGGGAAGTGAGGGGAGATCTGAACCAATATACAGGACTAGTCTGCCACTGACTGCTTACAATCCCCAGATCAGGAAGAGCCACACTTCCTGTTACATGGGTATCAACTTGTGGTATTTCACTTCTGAAATCATTTTCTGAAACTGTTAGAAAGACCCTTTAAAAATAATTTCATGGCTCTAACTTGGTGCTTTCTTGCTAAAAATGTGAAACCTGAACTGGGTGGACACCAAAGTCTTATTACCTTTGAACAACTGCTGTGCCTTGGGTTTTCCTCTTGTTTTTTTCTCCCTTCCTAACTATTGAATCTTGAAGCACATTCTTTCATTAAGGAGATTCAGCACCCTCTACAGTAGTTGATTGCAAGTCATTAACAGCCTGCAGCATGTCCTAGTCTTGAAAGATAAGAGTTAGGCTTGCGCAAGTGAAATTTTAAACAAATGTCTTACTTTTCTATCATTCTCAAACAGTACAAACTTTGGTTGGCTGCAGATCCAATAATCAAATTGTAGTTTAAAATTTAACAGGTTATGTCCTGTGACTTTGACATTCTGCAGCTGTTGAAACCAAGATTTTCCTTCTTCTTAAGAATCTTGTTCCCACTCCCAGGAACTATCCATGATTCTTGTCCATTGTGTTCCCCATTCTTGTACCACTCAGCCTGTTTCTCAGTTTTTGGTCTCTGGAGATTTTCCCTGTATTCGGTGATTAATTACCTGCTTTCTGGTGATTTCTCAATCTTTTTATTTTAAAATATTTCTTCATTTCAAAGTTCTCTCACAGAAGATACAAGCACTAAATGGCAAGGTACATAACTGCAGGTACCATACTCTCCATTCACCTTTTGTCTTTACTGCTAAAGACATCATTTAAAAAATGTATTAAAATCATAAAAGTTTAAATCCAAAAAAATAAACACTAGGCAATTGGTTTCCTTAGTTGAAACCTTAGCATTTAAAGGTTGAAGTGATAAAAATGTGCTTATACTGGATATGATTAACAATACACTTATTTGTGTTATCAATAATTGTATTTTAAAAAGAGGCTGCAAATATGTAGATAGGTGGTCTCTGAATGTTTAAACTGAATAGATTTGAAAAATAAAACCAAGACAATTTTATTGTTAGGAAACACTGAAATACAGTGCTTCATGCATGTATTAATAGAGCTTCTTGACAAATCACCTGTTAAATTTTAGCTGACAGCTTGTCATATATTAATTATAAATAATTGTAATATACGGCTATCATAATGCATGCAAAAAAAAGGAAAGGTAATTAGAGTATATCCTTTGTTTTCTCCCTTCACTTCTTGCTCACAAGAAAAAAAATGACCCAGTGTTTCACTTGGGTTGGGATAGTGCCAGTGGTTAATGGAATGCCCCACTCCACTAAAGAATTTAATGGGAATATCCATTTGTCACAGTCGCATGCTGTAATCTCCAGTAGCTGAGCCAATGGAAAATAGCATCGTACCATAACGTCCTCTACACACTGCAGGTGAGGGTGAAGTGCAGGAGTCAAACGAGCAGACGGGAAAGGGCCTGGCTCTCCTAGGCCTTTCTTTAGAGAAAGATGCAGATTTCTTTTCTTAAAGAGGACAGTGGTGCCTGATGGTGACAAGAAATGCCACCCTGCAGAAAAAGCATGTGTGTTTCTCTCTTGTGGAGACAGGTGTGAATGAGTGCACAGCATGTGTCAAAATCTCTAATCACAACCTTGGTGGAAGCCCAGCTGTCTGTGAAAAGACCAGGATCAGGTTCTCATTTCAATCATCTTCCTGTTTTAAGTTTCAAGTTTCAAATCTGAAGAATGGGAATAACAATACCTAAATGTGCAGTGTTACTACAGAATCTACAGGACTGTATGAATCAAAGCAGTCAGTATGGCACAGAGTTGTTGTCTCCTGTTCCTCTTCATAGTTAGGTGGAATTACAGTGTCTCATTACTTTATAGGTGTATATCTTATACCCTCAAGTTAAGTAATATACTGTTTAATTTAGGGACCCTCTTATATTACTCTATGAATAAAATTTGAAAAAATGCCATCAAACATTTTAACACTTGTAGAGATGAATATTTATGATATTTGAGGATTAAAGCCATTTAATTATTATTTCTTTCTGCATTTAGATTTATGAAGTATGCTAGACATAATGCATCTTAGACATAACGTGACACCTGTAGGAAAAGATCTCAGTAGTTTCAATGCCTTATGAAACTGCTTGTATGTTCAGAACATGTCACTTGAACCTGTACTGTGTTTCTCTATTCCAGCTAGATTTAATATAACCACTACAGTCTTCACAAAGAAAAAATGATAAGCAACAATTTACTCCATAACCCAGTTAATAATTTATCACCAGCATAGAAAGATTTGAAAAACATAGGATTTGAAGTCAAACAGATCTTGGATCAGAATTCTAGCTTGACTACTCACTGACTAAATCAGCTTGGACAAATTACTTCTCTTTTACTCCTGTTTCCTCACTTATACAATGAGACAAATAATACTTCACTAACACAGCAGTGGTTCAGACTGGAGACAAGACAGTGCCTTTGCAACGTTTTCTTAAAATCACTAGCAACAGGGTCAAAACATAAGCATTACATAGCAGTGTTTGTAGAGTATAGAATATGCTCTATTCTTTTTCTACTTCTGCTTCATTGAAAAAAATTTCCTTATGACTTACTAGATTCATGACCCACAAAAGGTCAAATGTGCATTTTGAAAACACTGGTTTATAATAACAGGCTTAACATAATGCTTAGTACATAATGCACATCTAACAACAAATTACTATTATTGTTGTCACAATTATTTTTAGTCCTCCTTTAGGATGCTTCATGATAAATAAGAATAAAATCTTCCGAGTGTTTCTAGGAACTAACTCCCTTGGATGAGATCCAACACAGACTCATACTCATCGTATGCTGAATTATGCACTAGAGGGGGTTGTGCTTTACAAAGCTCCTGTGTGCTGTTCATCACAGAATGTTAGAGCTGGAAAGGAACTAAGAAAATGTCTAGTCCTATTGCTTCATTTTCCTTCATGTAAGTATTTATGATTTTAAAATAGTCTCCACTGCTCATTGATAAGATGGAAAATGGCTTCTTTGACTTAGCGGCTGAAGGGAATGAGGAATAGTTGGTGTGATGGGGGACACCAGATCATGAGATCTAGATTTTTATTCTGCTTCTGCCATGAAATTGCTGGGGGCTCAAAGACTCTCAGGAATTTAGTTTCTATATTTGCGAAAGTGAGGTGATTTCAACAGATGATGAGGCCACCTCTGCTCTTTGACTTAAAACATCCAAATGATAAACAAGCATTAGCATCAGCATTCTGCTGTGTTGGTGAATATATTAATCATGTGTAGCTGCCTGTAGACTTACTTCCACTACTACTTGGATGTTCAGTGGGTGTTTGACTCCTCTATTGGTCTCATCTATATCAACAGCATCATCCTAGTAATTCTCCTTCTGTGTTGCCCAACAGCTCGGACTCTGTAGTCTGCCCCCTCCACCCAACATCTCCTTACTACTTTCTCTAAGATGGTGAGGCTGCAGTAGGGACAGGAACACCTAGGTTCCCTTGATTTCAGTTAGGCTCACGTCCTTTACTTGCATTGTCCTCTGTTTTTGATTTCTGCTTGCTCACGTGGATAACAGTCATCATTGAGTTCTCTAGCTAGTCTAACTTGATACGACCGTGGTAAGATGATAAATCTTCAACTATGCCCTCTGAGAGCAGGCAGGCTTGCCAGATGGGTTCTTCTTAAAGGTCAGATCTGCAGCAAGAGGGATGTGTCTCTCTCCACTGGAGATAACAGCATAGGAATATTATGTTTTAAAATCTTCATTGTCCCCCCACCCCAACATCCAGTCTGGATAACAAAAGTGGGATCACCAATTTCAGAGAGAAGATACGACAATGAAAAACCCCTGCTGGAGTTTTCATCTTGGGTGAGAACACCTATGGAGAGGCTAAAATTTCTGGACTCATTCTCAGGGCACAGAGAGCAGGTGTCCATCATGCTTGCTCAGCCTTTGAGCTCCTTGTGGCATCAGCCATGGGTTGAGAGCTTGAGCAGGAATAGATTTCTTCCTGATTTTTACCATGAAGCTAACTTAAAAAAAAGAAAAAAAAAGTCATGCCGGGATGCTCCTCCCCCACTACCAACTTGTTGGAAAACTAAACTTCACTTAGCAAGGCTCCTTTCAAAAATGTGTGATTTCTCTTCCGAACACACAGGGGGCAGAGGATTACTGACCAATCCTTCAGTGCTTTTCAGGAGCACAGCGTGCAGATGGTAGAAACAAACGGGCAGCTTGAGACAGCAGTCAGTATGCCGGATAACGAGGCTGCATCCGAAGGGGTCTGCTTACCTCTGCCCTTTCAGACAGCTTGGAGTTTGCAGAAATGAGAATGTGTGCATGGGCGGGCCTGCACACAGGTTCAGTCATGGAGGTGGCTGGAAGCCCTGGCTTGACTTTAGTTAACCTTTCTGACCAAGTTTCTAATGAATTGTGTTGGGCCCATTGCCAGCAGTGGCTTCCACAAGCTGGCTTTTCCCACATGCTGGAGATCCTTTGAGCAGCGAAGAAGGTTAAAATTCCTCTTTTCTGCTAAGGATCCGCACAGGGCCCCTTAGCCACCCTTGCCTTCTGTGGAGGAAGCATGCATAGCCCGACGACTCGGCGTCCTTCCAGGCAGACGGTTTCACGGTATCCTTCAGAGAAGCCGCGGAGCTTTGATGATTTCCAACATCATAAAAGCAAGTAGCATGAAAGCAAAACAAGTTATTCCACTAAGATTTGGATTCAGTACTTCCTTATTTTTTTCCTCTTTGCCCCCAAAGTGGATCCCCTACAAGCCTCCCCGAATGAGGCTGCCAAGGTGAACTGGGGCGGACACAAACTGTGTCTCATCAACCCCGCGCTCCTTATATTATCACCACCGCTTTGAAAAGGGCGCGACCAGCATTTTTTCCTCCAGAGCGCCAGGACACTGAGCAGGAAGCGCCGGGGCATGCATCTCTTAGGAGATGAGTGCATCTGTTAGAGAGGGTCTTTTCTGGCCTGGTGGATGGATGCTGGGGAGTGACGTCACCCCGCCCCCTCCTCTGCAAGTGTGAGTGTGAGTGCGTGTGAGTGAGTGTGCGTGCGCGGTGCGCCTCGGTCGCCCAGCTCTCCCGCCTGCCCCTCCTTCGTCCAGCTCTCGGCCCTCTCAGTGGGTCAGCGGTCCAGATGCAGGGATTCTCCAGCGGGCGCCGCGGGCCCCGAGCTGCCCGCGCCCGGGCGCACCCACGGTCACACTCACGCGTAGGCAGGGCGTACTCACAGCCCCCCAGCGCCGGGGCGCCGCGATTCTGTGGGATCCCCTGCACGTTAGGAGGATTTTAGAAATCACCCAGACGAGGAAACAAAGAGAGGAGCCTTTCCAATTACTTTCCTGAGCTTTTTGTTTGAATTTGCCCACCAAGCCACCTCGCCTGCCACCGTCACTACAAGGTTCACGCCAGGTCCAAGGACGGGGGCCGGGCTGGCCACCCCACCTCCCGGCCCTGGACTCCACCGCGCCCCCTCTGCCCCCCGCGGGCCTTAGTTTCTGGTTACCTCGCGTGCGCTTCACTTTTGGGGGGAAAGAAGAGAAGAAGGGGAGGGAGGCGCTGAGGAGGGCAGTCGAGTTGCTATTTGTGGCCAAAGATTCCTCTTTAAAAGCAGCAGCAGCAGGAAGGAGGAAGCGGGCGAGGCGGAGGGAGAAGAGACGCAGCCCCGGACCCCCCAGCCGCGAGCGGCGGAGCCTCGAGAAGCGGGAGGAGGAGGAAGAGGAGGTGGTGGAGGAGGAGGAGGAGGAGGGAGAGCAGACATACGGCGGCGGCGGCGGCGGCGGCAGCCTGAGTCGCGGACGCGGGGCGAGCGGGAGCGGGCGGAGAAAACGCCGCGGAAGCCGCGGGCTCTGAAGGGCCAGGAGGACGGCCCGGGAAGAGGAGGCGGAGGAGGCGGAGGAGGAGGAGAAGGGGGTAGGGGTGGAGGGAGGGCGGGGGGGACGCGCTCCTGTGGATGCTGGATTTCGGGTTTTTGGACTCACTCGCTGACTCTCCTCCACTTCCTCGCTCTGGACTGGGCTGGCCGCACGAGGGCTGGGCGGCGGCGGCGGCGGCGACCAGGGGGGGCTCCCGCGGCGACGGCCGCTGCTCGGCGGGATTAAATTGGCCGCCCGGAGGCGGCGGCGCGGCAGGCGCGGGCTGTGCGGCCGTGGCGGGGCGCGAAGGAGCTGGAGGAAAGTGCTGGTGCCGGCGCGGGAGGCGGTGGCGGCGACTGCCCGGAGCCAACATGACCAGGTGAGTCCCCTGAACTGACCCGGTCCGCCCCCCACTCGGGTCCTCCCCAGGAGCTGCGCAGGGATCGCCCTGCGCCGGGCTCCGGCTGCTGGCGCCTCCGCGGCCGGAGCGGCGCGCTCCTGCGTCCGAGAGCCCCACGACCCTGCGCCGGAGCGCAGTTTTCTCTTCAGAACCTCCTCGGGCAGAGGTCCTCCCCTGCGCGGTTCACTTCTCGCCTGAACCCCAGATCCTGGAGAGAGGCTATTCTGGAGGATGGGGGTGCCCGGGTACGTGTGTGTGTGTGTGTGTGTGTGAGTGTGTGCGCGCGCGCGACCCCCGCGCCCTCCTCTAGGGTGGGCGTAGTATTGGGGGGCAATGGTGGAGCGGCGGGATAGTCGACCTTACTCGGGGCTTCTGCCTCCGCTCGCGTGTTTCGGTGGCAGGGCTTCCTGCTCTGAGAAGGGCTGGTTACGGTGAGGGGGGGCGATTTCTTTTTCTTTCTTTCCTCTGAACTAGTGGGGAGAAGGAGACATAGCAGGAATCAAAGTCTAGGCGGCTGCCACCGAGGAGGGGGATTGTTTGGGAGACCTGTCCTCGGCAGAAGCGCGGCCCGAGTTCCGCTACGGGGACCTGGTGTGCTTCCACACACCCTCGTTCCGTGGGGGAAGGCAACGCGTGATTCCCGGCGACGAGCCAAAGTTGTGGGAAACAATTGGAAAAGAAAGCCGAGAGCGAACCAAAGATTCTTGGCTTTCCTATAGATTTACCGTAGCTTTTCTTACAGGCGTGGAGGAAACTTGCATTGCTTTTCTGCGACGTTGATTTTTTTACTTTAAAGCGCCAACGAGTGAAGTCGGTATTTTTAGACTTAGGAAAAAAAAAATCTTGAACACTTAAGTGTGAGATTGGTTTTCATTAATTGGGTGTTCCTAGGATTCTGAATATAGTAGTTCCATTCTTCAAAACCGGGACTATTACAATCCTCTTGTATTGTTTCCAGTTCGCCTTCCAGTAACTACTTGCCAAATGTCTCCTCCGTTTTCTAAAATTCTTGGCGTGATCCCCCAGCCTAATCCACAGTTGCACCTTAAGTACCTAGGAAGATTACTGAGGGGTAGCACTTCCCGTATTTCCTCTTGAAGTTTTTGGTTTTTTTTTTCTTTTACACGTCCAAAGACAGTACCAACGCTTAACAGAGTTGTACCCATTTTGAGCTTCTCAGAAGCTAGTAACAGCGTGTGGCTGAGTTGGATTTCTAGAGCTACAAATGAAGACTTGACCCTCCGGGGTGTCCTTTCAGACCATGCTGTAGCACACCTATGGGGAGTTGGTTCAGCTGTAGTTACTTGAGACCATTTTGACTGTTCTAAGTGTATGTGCGCACCACCTGCTCAACTTGAGTGAAACCAGGTGAAGTACCAAGACTTGAAGCATTTTGCTTTAAAGGGAGCTTTAGATGCTACCAACGTAAAGATCATGCTGGGTAGGGAATCTGATATCTAGGAAAATGCTGAGTAGATACTCCACTGATTCCCAAAGTGTGTTCTGTATATGCTGCGGGTAGGTATTATAGCCCATTTTCAATGCCCCATGTCTGATTTCTTGAAATGGGCATCCTAAATGGACAATAACATTTTCCCACCTCCCACCTCCCATAATTATGTACTGTACTTTGCTTTCCAATGGAGCTAGCAGTTCTGTGACAGATTTCTTAAATTCACCCTCATGCTATCAGCTATTATTGTACTTTCAAAGTGTGAAATTGACAAGCTGGTCAGTTTCATGAATTCAGCTGTCAGAGTGTGTCCAGTTAAAAATTGCTAAAAGCTGTAAATGCGCCTGCCTGGAATTTTCTTTTGTGACTGAGAGACATCAAGAGGATAGGGGCTTAAGGGGTGGTATTAATTAGACATCTTTTGAAATTATGTGTGCTGCAGTGTGAGCTTTATCACTCGCTGTGGCTGGGAAATACATTTAGATTTCCACTATTGTAAAAGTGGCATTCAGTTTTTATCTGTATCTCATTTTAAGTAGTGATCACTTTACATCATCTGTTCTGAAAGCCATCAGTAAAAAAGGTATATATGGAATGAGACTCAAAGAGGAAAAGTGTCTCTCACATGATTTTAATGTAGTTAATTGATATATTACTTTTGTAATGACATGTAAAAAGGTGGATGAATTAACCATTTTATTGTGGAGGTTATGTAACAGAAATCCTTCTTGGGCCAGCACAGTTGTACAGTCACTAAAGTAATCAAAGGCAATCATCTATTTTAATGTACATGTATTACAGTAGATAACCATAGATGCAAAGCTGCTTTAAGTATTAAATCCAATGATGTGCTTTGCCTTTTAAGATTGACGCTCATTTAGAACCAGAATATCTCAAAGTCCAGAACTAAGAACTGGAATCCCTTCATCTGCTGCTATTTGCTAAGCCACTAGGGGCCTGTATAACTTCTTATATTCAGGAGATACCCTGGTATGGCAAATGCGAACCCTTCCTAGAGAGACATTGAGAAAAGAAAAATTCTAGGCAGTCCCTCAAGTTTTGTGTTTTTCTTCTTTAATGCATTAACTCATGCTCTGATGTGAGTTACAGACATTGACTGAAGGACATTTCTGAAATGTTATTTGGGGTTTCTCTGACAATCTGGCAGCAAGAGGCTGATTTTTCATATAGAGTGTGAAACAGAATAGAGAGCGGTGTTCGCGTAAATTCATAGATGATCTCAGTTTCTCAGTGTATGACAGGGATAAACAAGGAGGGACATTCATAACTTTTCTTTATTGAACTGATAAGGATGTTATTTGCATAATGTAAGGTTAAAAGATAAATGAAGCAGAATTACTTTAGGGGAAGTATAGTCATAGATTGATGGTATGCTTAAACTAGCTTTGTAAGTGCTGCACAAGTTAGTTTGAAAGGAGAACCTGAGGCTTGGGCTACAGTGCAGCAAGCACTTGAGGGACCTGGACTGAAGAGACACCATACATTTTTAAGTGTCAGTTTCACAAATTTGAAATCGACCAGCCGTGGCAATCTTGATAGACATTAGGCAATAAGGTCAAGTATACTTACACTGTTCTCTTGTTGATTTTCAGTTTTTCAAACTGACAAGGGTGACTATTTGTAAAAGAGCACACTATTAGTATTTGCGTATCGGATTTCCTTCAGACCGACTTGATTTATCAAGCCATTTGAACAATTTATTCTTAAAGGGGTTCTATGGATAAATTAGAATTCATTAACACAGTCACATATGAAGAGTGTTAATCCAAGGAAGGTGGATTCCTCAAGGTGATTTTTGTTTTAAAATTACCCTTGTTCAGTTTCAGTGTCCATTTGTGGATAGTCTGAGAGTTGAGGTGTATGTGCTCCAACTTCTGATCCCGAGAGCATCAGACTTTTCGAGTTATATTGTTATAAACTCCATATATAAAAATGTTTGGTTATGGTACCTTTTTAATTCTCAAAAGTTTCTGGGAATCTCATGAATGAACTTAATTCACCCTTTGATGTAGTATACTTAAATTAGGGGGTCATAAAATATACTTCTAGAATTTATGCTACAAGCCCAGAAATATGAAGTATTAAATAAAAAGATACAATTATGTTTTTCTCAAATTTCCAAAAATGCGTTATTTTTTATTATTTTCTTAAAGGGACAGTGTTTCTGATTGAAAAGGTTATTGTGAGTAAATGAATTCTATTTTAATCCAGACTTATTCAGATTCTCTTATTGTCTCATCAAGTTATTTATCTTTTTGTTGTTGTTTAATCTTTGTACTGTTTAGTTTCTGTAGCAAGATCTTAGAGGAAAGCTACTTACTTGTGATGACACAAAGGAAACTCGCAGCCTCAAGCAAAATGAGTGTTTAAAAACATTCCCTTTTATATTATCAGTGATTTGCCAAGAAAAAGCAAAGAGGCGAGTTGTTCTCTCTGTGATCTACAAGATTGAGGATTCCTGTGTAACACATCAACTGGAGAATGCTGATGATGTTGGGGAAGATGGCTTAGAGCGGATTGGTCAGTAAATTTCCTTCCAGCAAACATCACTTGTTTAAGCTTCTGTAATTTCGAAGCAAAGAGACATTTCTTCCAAAGGATAGATTTGTTTGGGGATATGTTTTCTATATGGATAATCTCATTTGCTTCTAATTAGTAGTTGGTAACACTTGTTAAAATGGCAGGCTTTGTTTGCATTTGTCTCGACAAAGTGTCTGAATTCTCCCTCCTTTTAAAAAAAAGTTTCAGCATCCAACAATTAAGCCCTTAAGAAAGACAGCTATAAGAATATATGTCTGTGCTTGCTGATTGTTCATTATATAAAATTACAGCTTCACATGTAAAAGTTCAGCATTTTCTTTGCGTCATAAGTCTTGAGGAGGTCAAAGAGCAAATGCTTGTGTATTTCAGCAGTCTCTGACCTAATGTAATTTAAAAAATAATTTCTTGACAATGGTGCTAGACTGGAACAGTAATGATACAGAATTCTTACCAAACATCATTTCACAAAATTACACTTAAGACCTGTGTTCTTCATTTCCTCTTTAAAATATTACCCATTTACTTTTAGGTAGTCACCAATTTGCAGTTTCTTAACATGTTGTTTTTAAAATATCTTCTACACATTAATTTAACTATTATGTTCATTTGTACTGCCATATTTGCCAAAGCAACTCATAGGGGAATAAATTTCAATGCCTTTCCTTCAAAGTATCTTTGTGTTCATTAGTTTCTGTTTGATGCTGAAACGTTTAATAGGACCATATCAATACTAGTCACTCATAGCTTTTTGAAAATTACAGAAGGAAAAAAAGCAAAAGTGAGCTCAGTGGCTTTTTTTTTAAGCTTGTCTGTTGTCCAAATCAAATCTCTGTAAATTATAAATCAGTACGTTACATGAAAAAGAAAACAATTTCAAAAGCTGAGACAGCTCATTTCTGTGAGCTGGTGGATCATGTGTGTTCATGGAAAAGGTGTACAAATGAAAAAAAATTACAGATTACAAAGTTTTTCCACAAAAACAAGCTTGTCTTTTAATTGCATTTTCCACATACTTTGAGGGAGCTTTCTATTCAAGCAAGCCAATAGAATAGAAACAACCTGGATGCTCCTCTCTCGCTACCTGTAGCAAACAAGTCATGCTTCCCTTTTCTGATGCCTGGTTTTAGGTGGCAGGCCGCTCTTTGGCTCTTTCAGTGTTAGGAGAAAGTATGAGAACCCAAGCAGCCATCTGAGCCCAGGCTTGCTCTCCATTCTTTGATTTCACTGATCAGAAAGGCTACTTAACGTTTGTTCTTCTCTGACATTCAGAGAACAATGTCAGGAGCATTTGTGACCTTTAGCACCTTTCTCTTCACTGGACTTAGCTGTCGTAACTCTGTCTG